CATTGCACTCCAGTCTGGGTAACAACAGCGAAATTCCATCTCAAAAAAAAAAAAAAAAGAAACCTTGTAGTCTCAGGGGATAAACAGAGCACTTGATTTAATGAATGATGTAGGAATGAGTGAATGAGTTAACGAATCAGGGAAGGAGTCCAGATGCAGCCTCCCAGAGCAGTAGATCTACAGGAAGTGAAAGGTCAGTGTCTAGGGAGGTAGTTGGGGAATTCTGATGCCCTTTTGGTCTTCCTTTTTTCTTTTCCTTGAGAAAGGGTCTTGGTCTGTCACCCAGGCTAGAGTGCAGCGACCGGATCTCAGCTCACTGCAGCCTTGACGTCTCAGGCTCAATTGATCCTCCCATCTCAGCCTCCAAAGTAGTTGAGACAGGCTGGGCTTGTTGGCTCATGCCTGTAATCCCCGCACTTTGGGAGGCCAAGGCAGGGGGATCACTTGAGTCCAGGAGTTCGAGACCATCCTGGGCAACGTGATGAAATCTTTTCTGTACCAAAAATATAACAACGACAACAACAAAAGTTAGCTGAGCATGACAGTATGTGCCTATAGTCCCAGCCATTCAGGTGGCTGAGGTGGGAGAATCACCTGAGTTGGGGAGGGCACCACTGCAGAGTGAGACTCTGTCTCAAAAAAACAAAGTAGCTGAGACTACAGGCACACATCACCATGCCAGGCTAATTTTGTTTATTTTTTGTAGAGGAAAGGTCTCACTATGTTGCCCAGGCCAGTCTCAAACTCCTGGACTCAAACAATTCTCCTGCCTAGGCCATCCTAAAGTGCTGGGATTACAGGCATGAGCCATGTGCCCAAGCTTCTTTTTTTGAGACAAGGTCTCACTTGTTGCCTAGGCTGGTTTTGAACTCCTGGCTTCAAGGAATCCTCCTACTTTAGCCTCCCAAAATGTTGGGACTGTAGACATGAGCCACCACCCCAGCCTGGTCTTTCTAATACAGAGAAACTTGAAAGACAGCAAGTAGCAGAGCAGAAGCATGGAGTTTCGAGTCTGACCTAGGCTTGAATTCTGGATCCATCACTTATTAGCCATGTGACCTTAGGCAAATCCCTTACCCTGTTTGTATCGTCATTTCCCCATCTATAAAATGGGGTTGATAATAATATCATAAGAGCATTATGACTAAATGAGAGAATGCATTTAAAAGCCCTTACCCTGTGTCCATAGTTTAGGAATTGGTGGTTCCCATCACTTGCTCAGTGTTGGGTATGCAAATTCAGAAACACATGTCTGGACTCAGCCCTGGCCTGGTGTTTTCCCCACAAACCAGAAGCTGACACCTTCCCTACTCCCATGACTGTGTGGCTCTCCCTTCTTTATTTTATTTTTTAAAGACAAGACCTCACTTTGTTGCCCAGGCTGGTCTCGAACTCCTGGACTCAAGCAATCCTCCCACCTTCACCTCTCAGAGTGCTGGGATTACAGGCATGAGCCATGGAGCCCAGCCTTCTCTTCCTTCACCACTCCCCCATCACTGGCCAGTTCTGTTTACATGCTGCCTAAGTGTTTTCAAGGCCAGGGGTTGTCTAGCATATCTTTACAAGTCTAAGGTAAGGGAGGTGCTGGTTAGGGAGAGGCATGGCAAGAAGTCGGTCAAAGAGGAAGGGCAAAGCACAGGTGTTTAGGAAGGCCCCGCAATCAGCCTGGCACCCAGCTTGGTGCTCAACATGCATTGTCTCCTGTCATCTTCATAAAAATGTCATTTTAAGCTGGCCCCCAAGCCTCACGCCTATAGTCTCCCAGTTAATCAGGAAGCTGAAGCAAGAGGATTGCTTGAGCACAAGAATTGGAAGTTCATTGTAGTAAGTTATGATCAGGCACTGGACGCCAGCCTGGGCAATGTAGCAAGACCCTGTCTCTTTAAAAAAAAAATGGGGCCGGTCGCAGTGGTTCACACCTGTAATCCCGGCACTTTGGGAGGCGGAGGTAGGTAGATCACGAAGTCAGGAGTTCAAGACCAGCCTGGCCAAGATGGTAAAACCCCATCTCTACTAAAACTACAAAAATTAGTCAGGCGTAGTGACAGGTGCCTGCAATCCCAGCTACTTAGGAGTCTGAGGCAGGAGAACCGCTTGAACCCTGGGAGGAGGCGGGGAGGAAGTTGCAGTGAGCCAAGATCTCACCTCTACACTCCAGCCTGGGCAACAGAATAAGAGTCCGTCTCAAAAGAAAAAAAAAAATTATAGCTGAGGAAACTGAGGCTCAGGAGGTAAACAGGAGATACGGGATATAAAGCCAAGCCTCTCTGTGACTCCAAAATAGTTTTCTCCTCTCCCATGCTGCTCACCAGCTTGTAGATGATCATCAGATGTTTGAGGAATAAATTTTCCTTATTCCCAAGAGGAACAGAAATTGTGCAGCCCTCTTTCCAGAGAATCCAGGTACATGCTCAAACAGTGATGAATAAACAAATGAACGCTAATGAATAAATGAAAGATTGAGTGAAATCCCTCTGGTACCCGCACCAGGAAGAAGGAAACAAACAACCCTAGAAGAGCCTCCTTGCAGGAGGAAGTGGAGACTGTCTACAGGGCCGTGGTCTCCAGTGTGCAGGTCAGCAAAGGGCGAGGAACTGACTTACTTGGAGTTAGAAAAACTTAGGAGGGTCGGGGGTGCTGGGGAGAAGGTGATGACTAGAGAGAAAGCCAGTGACTGAAGGTCAGAGAAGAAGAATGAAATTACCCCGTCCCCACGCTCAGCCCTTCCCTGCCATTTCACTTGGGGAGATAGACCCTGACGCCTGGCCTGACATGCTGCCAACTTTTAAAATGAAAGTTGCAGGATCCAAAGCGGCCACACCATGAGGTCACTGCAGAAGGCGAGTTACCAAGGGAGCACCCCACACCTCCCCCTCCTTCCTGCACCAGCCCCTCCATGCCCCCACCCTGCACTTCCTGCCACCGCCCTCTCGTCCTGACATGGGGACTCCCTCCACTCCCTCCCAGCTCCCACATCTTACTCTGAGAGACAAGGTACAGGTGTCCCGGCTGGTCCTTGAGTTCCAGGCTTTTTGGGCCGGGAGTTGCCTGCTGCCCTGAAGCTCCCGCTCTACCAGGCGCTCCTCAGTCCCTCCCCAAACGAAAAACCTCCAGACAGGTTCCAAAGCTGCCCAGCCCAGGAGGAGGGAGCCTGAGGAAATCCCCTCCCAGTCGGGCAGGGCTGGCCTGCTTGGCAGTCTTGCTCCTGGGCTGGCCCTAGATGAATTAGTCCTCCCCCTTGCCTGCTTGGGTATGAGCCAGGGAGCCGGTGGCAGACTCTGCTCTTTCTCCAGGGCACTGGGCTCCATTCCACCTCCAAGTCCTGTCCTCCTGCTTCATGCCTGGGTCCCCTGCCCTCCCCTCTCCGCTCTCTGACACCTCGACAGGGTGGTCTCTATCAACAGAGTGGTCTCTATCAACGGGGTGGTCTCTATTACTCTGCATTTTGTTGTTCTCCAGTGTGAAGCCAGGCCTGGTACTGAGCACCAGGGTGGGTGACTTGATGACCCTCAGCAGAGGTTTAGTCCATGGAAGAATTGGTGACACCATGGCCCCTGGTGAAATAGCTCTGATTATTCATTCAAAGCGTTTTTTAGAGTAACTGGCCTTGTGCAAGGCCCTGAGGATGAAGAGGTAGATTAATGCGGTCCCTGTCCTCCTACTCCACTAGGAAGACAAAGAATGAAGCTCTAAGTAGACGCTGTGCAAGATTCAGCCAGAAGGAGGCTGGGCACGGTGGCTCTAGCCTTTAATCCCAGCACTTGGGGAGGCCGAGGCAGGCGGATCACCTGAGGTTGGGAGTTCAAGACCAGCCTAACCAACATGAAGAAACCCCATCTCTACTAAAAATACAAAATTAGCTGGGCGTGATGGCACATGCCTGTAATCCCAGCTACTCAGGAGGCCGAGGCAGGAGAATTGCTTGAACCTGGGAGGCAGAGGTTGCAGCGAGCAGTGATTGCACCATTGCACTCCAGCTTGGGCAACAGGAGCGAAATTCCATCTCAAAAAAAAAATTTTTTTTTTCAGGAAGAAGGGACCAGGGAGGACTCCCCATGTGTGGAAGTGTTCTGGAAAAACCTTTAGACAACATAACACACAAGATGGGTTTTGAAGGATGAGTAGGGGTTTTCCAGAATTGTGAGGAGGGAGGGGGAGCACAGGCTGACAGTAGAGGCCATGAGAAAGGACGGAATTCAGCAGGAACCACTTGAAGTTCAGAATTGTGAGCGGAGCGTGTCAGATCAGGAAGGGCCTTGTGTGCCTTGATAAACGGCTTCAACTGTGTTCTGTAGGTTCTGGGGCATCATAGAAAGGTGTATGTGTGTTTGTTTTGTTAGTTTGAATACAGGGTGTCTCTGGGGGGCAGAGGTTATAGTGAGCTGAGATTGGGCCACTGCACTCCAGCCTAGGTGACAGAATGAGACTCTGTCAGTCTGTCTCAAAAAAAATTGGGGTTTCTCTCAGTTACCCCGGCTAGAATGCAGTGGTGCAGTCATAGCTTGAAGCAGCCTTGAACTCCTGGGCTCAAGTCTCAAGTGATCCTTCCACCTTAAGCTTCCTGTGTAGCTGGGACTACAGGCACGCACCACCATGACCAACCAGTTTTTCAATTTTTTTTTTTTTTTTTTTTTTGAGATGGAGTCTCACTCTGTCGCCAGGCTGGAGTGCAGTGTCGCCATCTCGGCTCACTGCAACCTCTGCCTCCCGGGTTCAAGCAATTGTCCTGCCTCAGCCTACCAAGTAGCTGGGACTACAGGCGCATACCACCATGCCTGGCTAATTTTTGTATTTTTAGTAGAGAGGGTGTTTCACCATATTGGTCAGGCTGGTCTCAAATTCGTGACTTCATGATCCACCCATCTCGGCCTCCCAAAGTGTTGGGATTACAGATGTGAGCCACCGCACCTGGCCCAGTTTTTAAATTTTTCGTAGAGATAGGATTTCACTATGTTGCCCAGGGTGATCAGGAACTGCTGGCTTCAAAAGATCCTCCTGCTTCGGCCTCCCAAAGTGCTGGGATTACAGGCGCTACACAACACCTTGCTAGCTCACAGATAGGCTTTAAATAGGGACACAAACTATCAGATTGCATTTAAAATAGATCACTGGGGGCCCAGCACGGTGGCTCACGCCTGTAATCCTAGCACTTTGGGAGGCCAAGGTGGGTGGATCACCTGAGGTCAGGAGTTCAAGACCAGCCTGGCCATCATGATGAAACCCCATCTTAAAAAAAAAAAAAAAACCATAGATCACTGGGGCCAGGTGTGGTGGCTCACACCTGTAATCCCAGCACTTTGGGAGGTCAAGGCTAGAGGATGGCTTAAGCCCTAGAGTTCAAGACCAGCCTGAGCAACATCGTGACACCTGTCTCTACAAAAAAAAATTTTTTAATTATCTGGACATGATGGTGTGCACATGTAGTCCCAGCTACTCCAGAGGCTGAGGTGAGAGGATAGCTGGAGCTCAAGAGGTTGAGGCTGCTATAATCACACCACAACACTTTAGCCTGGGTGACAGAGTGAGACCCTGTCTCAAAAAAAAAAAAAAAAAAAGACAGCCATTGCAGTACATTGAGCTCCATAGAGATAGTGCCAGGGCAAGGGAGAGCCAGATGGGTACAGGGTGACTCTGTGCCTCACTGAGGAAAAATAACTAAACATGGGCAAAGGAGATCCTAAGGATTCGAAAGGCAAAATGTCATCATATGCATTTTTCATGCAAACTTGTCGGGAGGAGCATAAGAAGCACCCAGATGCTTCAGTCAGCTTCTTAGCATTTTCTAAGAGGTGCTCAGAGAGGTGGAAGACCATGTCTGCTGAAGAGAAAGGAAAATTTGAAGATATGGCAAAGGTGGACAAGGCCCATTATGAGAGAGAAATGAAAACCTATATCCCTCCTCAAGGGGAGACAGAAAAGAAGTTCAAGGATTCCAATACACCCAAGAGGCCTCCTTCGGCCTTTTTCCTGTTCTGCTCTGAGTATCGCCCAAAAATCAAAGGAGAACATCCTGGCCTGTCCATGGGTGATGTCGTGAAGAAACTGGGAGATGTGGAATGACACTGCTGCAGATGACAAGCAGCCTTATGAAAAGAAACCTGCCAAGCTTCTTTTCATAGGAAAAATACCAAAAGGATATTCCTGCATATTGAGCTAAAGGAAAGCCTGATGCAGCAAAAAAAGGGAGTTGTCAAGGCTGAAAAAGCAAGAAAAAGAAGGAAGAGGAGGAAGATGAGGAAGGCAAAGAGGATGAGGAGGAAAAGGAATATGAAGAAGATGAAGATGATAATGAATAAGTTGGTTCTAGCACAGTTTTTTTTCTTGTCTATAAAGCATTTAACCCCTCTGTACACAACTCACTCCTACAAAAAAAATTTTGACAAAAGAAGACAAAAATTGAAAAGAAAAGAAAAAGATCACTGGGACCTGCAATGTAAAGAAGGGTCTGAAGCAGGCAGCACTAGAGGCAAGAAGACCAGTCAGGCTTGCACGAGTCCAGGCAAGTGATAAGTAGGCCTTAGCAAGGCACTGGCTAGGCAGTGGGGGGGCAGGAGTGAGAGAAAGGAACAGATTCAAGAGCTGCTCAGGGGGTAGCACTGATGGGACTTAACAATGAGTAAGGGAGGAGCCTAGGATGAAGCTAAGATTTCCAAATGGAATAACTACTGAGGTTGATAGTGGTGCCCGTAAATAAGATGGAGAAATCTGGAAGAAATGGCCAGGCACAGTGGCTCAAGCCTGTAATCTCAACGCTTTGGGAAGCTGAGGTGGGTGGATCACTTGAGGTCAGGAGTTCGAGACCAATCTGGCTAACATGGTGAAACCCCGTCTATACTAAAAATACAAAAATTAGCTGGGCATGGTGGTACATGCCTGTTATCCCACTACTTGGGAGGCTAAGGCAGGAGAATCACTTGAACCCAGGAGATGGAGGTTGCAATGAGCCGAGATCACACCACTGCACTCCAGCCTGGGCTATCAAGGGAGACTATGTCTCAAAAAAGAAAAAAAAAAGTTGGGTGCAGTGGCTTATGCCTGTAATCCCTGCACTTTGGAAGGCCGAGGTGGGCAGATCACGAGGTCAGGAGTTCAAGACCAGCCTGGCCAACGTGGTGAAACCCCATCTCTACTAAAACTACAAAATTTAGCTGGGTGTGGTGGTGCACATCTGTAGTCCCAGCTACTCAGGAGGCTGAGGCAGGAGAATCACTTGAACTCTGGAGGCGGAGGTTGCAGTGAGCCGAGATCTCACCACTGCACTCCAGCCTGGGCAACAGAGTGAGACTCTGTCTCAAAAAAACAAAAAAAATCAGGATCAGAAGAAAAGCAATTTGGGGGAAAATGAATTCTGTTCCGGACTTGTTGAGTCAGGGGCACCTGCAGAGATGTTCAGGGAGCAGTTGCTCCAGGGATAAACAGGAGTTGTGTATCAGTCAGGGCACCAGCAGCAAGGAGAAGGCATCTTCAGCTAGATTTGAAGGTCTGGGAAGGGTAAAGGAAGCCATTAAGAGATGTTGAATATCCAGGGATGAACAGCAGTGGGAAGCCATGCAGCATTCACTGAGTCCAGCGAGAGCTGGAGCCATGGACAAGGGCCCCTGGCAGAGCTGCAGTTGTGCAGGAAGGCAGCCCCCACTGGAGCAGAGTGGAAACAGAAGCAGGAATATCCCAATCACCTTAGTCTCCGCCTTCCTATTCCAGAGTCTTCTCCTTAATGAAACTCAACCAGAAGCCAGACGGCAAGGTGCCCCAAGGCACAGAACAAGGAAGAGAAAGGATGGGGGTTGGGAGGAGTCAGCAAACAGCTGGAAAAAAAGAGATTTAGGAGTTACACAGAGAAGGCAACTCATGGGAGCCGGTGAGGTGACTCAGGGAGAGAAATTAGAGAGGAAAAAAGGATCTAAGACAAGACTCAGGGAATGCTACAGGGGCAGAAAGGGTGAGTTCTTCCCTCCCCGTTAGAGGGTCACAGAGGAAAGTGTAACAGATTCATTACATGCATGCATGTGCAAGGGAGTCATACAAGATATCAACTCAAAGCAAGGCCAGATGGTTGATGCTTAAATATCCCCTTCACTGGGGAAAAGATGGATTGGGGGCTGGTTGTGGGAGTCAGTCATTTTCAGGATAAATGAATAAGCCCAAAGACCAAGTTTCTCCAGGCCCTGAGGGAGGTGGCCACACAGGTTAATGGGAGAGTGAAAGAAGAAAGCATGCCAAGAAAAGTTTGTCTGATTCTGCAGATGAAAATGTCAACAAGGTGCAGTGGCTCACACCTGTAATCCCAGCAATTTGGGAGGCTGAGGTTGGCGGATTGCCTGAGCTCAGGAGTTCAAGACCAGCCTGGGCAACATGGTTAGACTCTGTTTCTACCAAAAATACAAAAAAAAAAAGTTAACCAGGCATGGTGGCACATGCCTGTAGTCCCAGCTACTCAGGAGGCTGAGACACAAGAATTGCTTGAATCTGAGAGGCAGAGGTTGCAGTGAGCCGAGACGGCGCTGCTATACTCTAGCCTGAGTGACAGAGCAACACTCTGTCTAAAAAAAATGAAAAGAAAGAAAATATCTTAAGTATCTTAGGTCATCTCAGACAGAATAGACGGCAGCCTGTGGTTGAGTTAGTCTTTCTTAGATCTGGGGAAGGGAAGTGGGGCTCCGAGAAAGCCTGACTGTGTATTTCACAACTGTGGCTTTTTCTCTACAGATGTAAATCTCCTCCACAAAAAGCAGCTTTTCAGGACTATTCCTGTCTGCAGGCCCTCTGAATAGCCATCTCAAAATAATTCAAAGAAGTATATTTTGGGGTGAAGTATTTTTGGTTTCTTTTCACACCAAGGGCCATGCAGAGCATAGAGCAAGGGAAAATAAGAGGAAAGACCAAAACTGAGAGCCAAGCCCACCGCCCACCACAGGGACAGATCGGAGAGAAAGGACTCAGATGGCACAAAAGCAGCCAAGCACTGGAGCGGACAGAGTAGTAGAAGGAGGAACCTGGGAGACACCTGGGGCACTCGTGTCGGACACTGAGCCTTTCTGTAGGGAGCTTATACCTACATATGTATAAGGAAGTTATACCTCACCCGCATTTTCTAGCTAAAGCAGGTGGCAAGTTTACCTGCTAGGAGTTAGGAAGAGAGAGACTGGGTGGAAGATTGAAGGAAATTTACAACTGCTTGAAACAACAGCTGAGAGAAGAGAAAACTGACCAAAGCAAGGTAGACGCTCACAGAGGGAATGCCAAGGATCAACACGCAGGCAAGAATGAGGGACCCTCAAGAAGTGAGAAACTGGTGAAACCAGGTCCTGGCCTGAGTGATATGTTAGTAAGATCAATGCAGCATGGGTGAGAGCCAGGTGACAGCCACCAGCAATCCTTCGGCACCCAGGAAGGAGACAGCTTTCGCATAAGATGGAAAGTGTCGGCTGGGCACAGTGGCTCCTGCCTGTAATCCCAGCACTTTGGGAGGCTGAGGCAGGAGGATCACGAAGTCAGGAGATAGAGATCACACTGGCTAACACAATGAAACCTGGTTTCTACTAAAAATACAAAAAATTAGCCAGGCTTGGTGGTGCGTGCCTGTAGTCCCAGCTACTCGAGAGGCTGAGGCAGGAAAATCACTTGAACCCGGGAGGCTGAGATTGCAGTGAACTGAGATCATGCCACCGCAGTCCAGCCTGGGTGACAGAGCAAGACTTTGTCTCAAAAAGGAAACAAGAAAAAAGAAAAATGTCTGCAGAAAAAAAGTCCTGCTCAGCTATGGAAGTGCAAAGAGCATCAGGAGGCAGTGCTTGCTCACAGATCTGTACCGGGGTTGTGGCTGGGCCACCTCAACTCTAATATCCAGTTATCCCTGGCTATCAAAGACACTACTGACTGTTCCAGCCCTCTAGTCAACCTCCCTTGTGATTCGATGCTCAACAAGCTGCTTTCTACGCTGTATGATTTCAGAGAGAGGTGTCTGCCCACACTCAGTGCACACACAAGTTGGGGAGCTCTCAGAAAATAAAGCCTGGTGATCTATTCAGAAATAGGAAAATATAAAAGAAAACAAAGTCAGTATTTTATTTATCTCTGTATCACCAGCACCCATAACAGGGATTGGCATTGAGTTTGGTACAAAAAGTGTTTACAAAATATATCTGGAGGAAGCTGATATACTCTTAAATGTTTGTAAATTAATACATTTTCATTTAGAATTTGTATACCAGTTTCATGTAAATTTCATTAATGTGAATTAGTATCTTCAAATTGTATCAGTTCTGAGATATTGACAAGTTTACTTTTCTTTTTTTGAGATGGAGTCTCACTCTGTCACCCAAGCTGGAGTGCAGTGGCACAATCTTGGCTCACTGCAACCTCCGCCTCCAGGGTTCAAGTGATTCTCCTGCCTCAGCCTCCCAAGTAGCTGGGATTACAGGCACCCGCCATCACGCCTGGCTAATTTTTGTATTTTCAGTAGAGACAAGGTTTCACCATGTTGGCCTGGCTGGTCTCAAACTCCTGACCTCAGGTGATCCACCCTCCTTAGCCTCCCAAAGTGCTGGTATTATAGGCATGAGCCACCTCGTCCAGCCACACATTCATTTCTAAGCATGCAAAATTCAGAGCTTGACCCTGAACCGTGGTGAATTCACCAAGATCATGACTCTTTGGGGCCAGAGCACCAGTCTTCTCTTTTTTTTTTTTTTTTAAGACAAAGTCTCAGCCGGGCGTGGTGGCTCACGCCTATAATCCCAGCACTTTGGGACGCCGAGGCGGGTGGATCACGAGGTCAAGAGATCAAGACCATCCTGGGTCTCGATCTTTTGTATTTTGTAAAAATACAAAAATTAGCTGGGCATGGTGGTGCGCACCTGTAGTCCCGGCTACTCGGGAGGCTGAGGCAGGAGAATTGCTTGAACCCAGAAGGTGGAGGTTGTGGTGAGCCGAGATCGTGCCATTGCACTCCAGTCTGGGTAACAACAGTGAAACTCCGTCTCAAAAAAAAAAAAGACAGAGTCTCACCTGTCGCCCAGGCTAGAGTGCAGTGGTATGATCTCAGCTTATTGCAACCTCCGCCTCCCAAGTTCAAGCAATTCTCCAGCCTCAGCCTCCTGAGTAGCTGAGATTACAGGCAAGTACTACCACATCTGGCTAATTTTTTGTGTGTGTATTTTTAGTAAAGATGGAGTTTCACCATGTTGGTCAGGTTGATCTCAAACTCCTGACCTCAAATGATTTGCCTGCCTCAGCCTCCCAAAGGGCTGGGACTTCAGGGGTGAGCCACTGCACCCAGCCTGCAATTCCTCTATCCTGATAAATGAGCTCAATCTGGCTAGTGGGCAAGATGAACTCATTGGGCAGTTATAGTTCCTTGCATGTAGATGCAAAGTCAGCTCATCTTCATTGCACTCGGAGTTCACCACCACCATAACATCTACCACAATGTATTTAAATTATCTGTGCCTGTGTGTTTCTCCTTCTTTGCTGAAGGACATGCCCTGAGATTATGAGCTCCTCAAG